TAATGATAATTATCAAAAGTTCAAAACACTTTGTTGAGATTGTAATATAATCATCCACGAATGAACAAAAAGAAATCTGAATTCATAAAATAAGACATGAATTCATTCTGTATTCTAATTTTGAAGTCATGTAAACAAAATACCTATTTCATACAAACTTTAACTCAGACATATGTATCATTTATCATGCTTATTCTTTTACAATATGAGGACTTATAAAAGTAATACATTAGAGACAAAGAAAGAAAGAAAGTGTGTATCTTTTTGTTTAGGGTTAACATTATCATGTCAGACATATCCAGTCACTAATATTCACAGTTTTATAACTATCACTTATTATCATCCAAACAACTGTATCAGAAATAGTCAAAACCAAAATCAAAAGAGTCCAGAATTATTATGTGTAACAACAAAAAGTAACATATGGTGAAGGAATGATATAAACAAAGGAATTTCCACAAGATCAAAAAAATGGAATTCATGTAGAGTATAATAGTGTTTACATTACAAATTGTAAAAAATATGTATGGTGACTTTGTAAGTGATGTACTTTTTTTCTAATGAGATGATTTTCAACTGAATCTGAAATCCACAAATGAGTAATACCCGAAGTGAGACTCGATGAATGAATGACAGTCATTATCTAAATATAATGACTTTTAGCTGTACTTTAATAAATCATGGTCACCAATTGGAATAAAAGTATCATCATAGATATTAATATTTAGTTCCTGAGCTACTAGTACAATGTTCAAGAGTACATAAACTGCCAAATTTTAATCGATCCTTAATATTAGGCACAAAAAAAGTGAAATCGGTGTTCCGATACTAAATCCGAAATCTCTACCTCAATTTTATCCGAATCTTCTATGTCTAAGAGTTCATCTTCGGATAGATCTTCTTGGTGGGCCTCAGGGGCGTCACATAATTCTATATCAAACACTCCTGCCATAATCCTTACATGGATATATCTCTAAAACATAAAATAACTAAGGAAAACGCATAAAATCTGGCATCGCCCGGTTTAATTCCAACCTCCCTTTCAAGAAGAGTTGCTGGTGACGAAAACGTGGTCACATGACGTCTGTAACTTCCGTAAATCGAAGCCAATGAACAGTGGTTTTACAGTCTCCTTTGAGCAGCACCTGACCTCGTCAGTCCTCACCAAATTCCAAATTCTAAGTGGAAAGTTTCATATACTACATTCTTATAAATAAATGGTATAAATAAATATACGATTTTATCTTATAGTATGCGATTAAACGTCTCATATTCATCAGGATGGGCTAAAAATAATCTTGCATTTCACTGGAATGCCATTTTGTAACGTTCCCCCTGATTCGACAACTTGGCTCTTACACCAATGTTGCTGTGCATAGTTTTCACCTCTGACCCAGACATCTTGAAAATCAAATAAATGAATCAATAATACAGTATTGCATTTACTTTTTAATAACAATTGCCATAATAAATATCCTTTATTTGAACCTAGAATACATTTTGATGATAATATTGCACCAAAATCTGCACCAGAAACGTGACCTTGGGTGTGTAGGAGGGTGGGAATCCAGGGCTACTGAACACAGAAACGAGCCACTCAGTCTGCTGGTCAGCATACACACCTTTTCTCCGGACAACACAACACATGAGAATGGTGTCTTAAATGTGAAAGACGTGTTGCATCTGCGATTGCTATTACTATTTTGAATAGAACTTGTCTTTCCAGAACCAGGATCGTAGTAAATCGTGATTTTTTTACACTGACACTGCAGAAGAATCCATATTTATAAGTCCGCAATACCACAGAGGGCTTTGTTTTGGCACCCAGGCCCAGCCCTGCATTTTCGCTACACATCACTGAACGAGGTACTGCGGATGGCCTGCTTCTCTGAGACCGTTGTCGTCGACGATCTCGGTAAGTGACGCTGCGACACTTTTCATTTGACTATGGTAAATATATTAAAAAATATCGTATGTGTGACTTTGCAACGAAAATGAAAATGAAAGTTACATGTCGGGAAATTTTCAAGACGCCCAAAACTTATTGCAGGGATAGACTACCAGACGTCTCTCTCTACCGGAGGCCCTCCTAGCCAATATTGCAATTACAAATCGGTTCATATGATTGCATAAGAGTGGTTTGAATGTTTTCCTCGTCTAATAGGCGGTCGTGCTAATAGCTTATCAGTTGCACACTGAAAAAATTCTCACCACCTAAAAGTTATCTATCACGTTTTATTTTAGCACGAAAATTCAAGCGTTAGCACAGCCAGTACATATCAGAATCGTCAATAGGAGTGCTAACGCATGGATTTTTGTGCTAGTTTTATTTGAGATATGCCTATTTTGACAAAATAACTTTTAACGTACTTGTATTTGACAAGATTCATGCACTTTAGTGAAGCAGTAGAGAAAATCAAGTCTTTTTCAATTGGTATTTTCCATCCTTCTAAATTTCATTAAAGCAGATATGTTAGGGTATAGCCTAGGCATTAAGACCTTGCTTAAAAGCAGTCATCAGATTTTATATATTTAAATAATAATACTAATAAAAAAACATTGCACAATCCAACTGTTATGAGTTATAATAGACACCATTATTATTATTATTATTATTGAATAATCTTTTCTTACAATGAGTTGTTGTTGACAGTTGCAATGAAATATCCCAACTTTGTTTCCCACATTGTTGCATGTTATTTCTTGATATTATGTTCTTTTTTGCTGGCCATTCTGCTGCTGACTTCTACTGCTGTCCCAACTAATTTTGTTCACCCTAATAGTTATTCATTATCCAACTGTTTTTACTGTAGATTTAATGAGAGGCTTTATTTGGAATAGATACATATGAAAGGCCCTAATCAGCAAAATCCGTTTCATTCTAAAATATTGTACTTGAGGAATATTTATTTTATAAAGTTTGTATCATTCAATCAGTATCACCCAAACATCTTTTTTTTTTTACTGGGAGGATTTACATTGATAGAATACATGGCATGGTTTGAGAAAAGAAGATTATTTTCTTCTTTCTACAAGCTATTATATCTCAATTGTATTTTGTGATAAAAATTTACCCAGTGCCCTCTCAAAATCAATTTTGTGATAAAGTCAGACCCGACTTCTTTAACATAATGGATAGGGTTATGTAGCAAATATTATTTACCCATGTTATGTAATGTTTCAGAGTAGGTGCATTTTTGTCCTTATTTCAAAAAGGCTGGAACATTCCCTTGGGAAATTAGCAGAGGTTAGTGCAGATTAGCAGTGTTTTTTCCTCTCACAGTTGCCCTAAAGTCCAAATGAGATAAGTAAAATTTGGATGAAATTTATTGTCAATGTCTTCCTGCATTCCACAGCAGAACTAGCAACTTTCATCTCATTATGTCCCACAGTGTTAAAGAGTCCTTTTATTATGGTTATTGACACGGTTTTTGAGAAAATCTATCCATTCACCATTCCAAAATAGGCTCTACCAAATCCTTGCACTAATCATTCCTGTGGTCAATAGCCAGTTGCAAGCAGACGTGGCTTTTGAACTTATGTAGTAATTGTCTTGTCTCTGACTCTCTATAACTATTATGATTTAGTAGATAAAGATATAAATAATGATAAAGTGGTAGGTATCTACCCAGTACGCACAATACAGTGAAAAAATTATCAAAAGAAGAAAATGAATAATATAACATTTTGTTTGCAGTCTTTTACCAACATTCTGTAAATATTTTTAGTTTTTGGCTCTTGAGAGAGATCATACATTGGGGTATTGCAGCACTACTAATTAGACAAACGTGTTCAAAATACATTGATATGATAATTGTAATTTAAAGGAAATAAACCCATTAGTGACATGCATCAGAAATACATGTATATTATCTATCACAAATTCCATATTGATGGAAACATTATCATGATAAGCATATGATATTGAATTGCTTATTCTACATGAATGAGGTAAACAAGTGGCCAACTCTTACCTTGCATCATTTCATTTTTTACAAAAATGATCAGTATTGCAAGAGGCTGAAAACTTTTTTGTCTGTGAAAAATGGTATCTTTTGTGGTTTGACAAACAAGACTACATATTCAATAATGTTACAAATCTATCAGTAGGATTACTGTAGGAATAATTATTCTTTTGGACAAGAAATTATTATCATTATTTTTTTTTTTTTTTTTTTTTTTTTTGGGGGGGGGGGGGGCATTCATATATTTATATTTATTTTTTTTATTTTTTTATTTTTTTTTTTTTTTTTTATATGTTTTT